CGCTTCAAGCCGAGAGAAAACACGTTGGCTCCACATCTCAAGTGACGTACAGGTCAGATTCCGACCTGCTGGACGTTCAACGTTGTCAAAAATATCTATCGAATCAACACTGCTGCCTCCAAGGTAAAGTAATGATACATTAACTGTCAAACTGCACGCAGCAGTAGTACCTACGATTCAAGGCAAAAGCCGTCAAAATAATCCCCAGTATCAGGCATGGCAAAGAACTTTCGGATAAGAGAAATTACATCGACAAGTGATGGTCAGATCACTAAACCCTGCAAGGCTAAAAGCCGTCATAGGCACTGCGCGGGCCAACCAATCTCGTCCAGCTCTGCATCAACTAAACCGAGCTAGGCTGAGGCTGTGACACTCTAAAGAATGAGGTACTAACCAGTTAAGGCATCATGACGCTAGTTCAAGAGGAACGGCCTTCTTTGGCACCAGTCCGGTGTACAGAGAATCTATTTAGCATTACAGGCGGAGATGGGAGCTCTGCAGTCCTCAAAGTTTGCTGCTATTACTGGAAACACTTCTTCCAGCTAAGGAAAGTCTGAAGAACACTGTGGTGTGCAGCTTGTGCCTGAGCTATCCCAGCAAACTGGGTCATTTGCGGCTGAGTTTTGAGCAAACCAGTGAAGGCCACGAGTGGGGTCTACGTTAATCAGCCTCTTCTGGAGCCCAGGCAAATAATACATATGTTTGCATTTAGAGAATCAGACTAACATGGAACAAAAAAAGAACTCTACATTGCAAGTCAACGCATATGTGCATGAGGCTGAATAGTCAAAGAGGACAACAGGATATACCGTACTCCGTAGTACTCCACAGAATAATGTGATGAGTAGTCACTGGACTCTGACTGGAATGTCACACAGTTTCAGCCTTGAGACGCAGACGCCAAGGCCAAGTCACGCCTTGTGTGGGACAAGAAATTCCCAGACCGCCGGATGAAACATCTGGCTGGCGGCTTCGACCCACGTCCAATCGCGACGGGGATTCTTCCGCAATATACAAGAATATTACATCAAAGTTCGGTTGTGTTGCGCAGAAGGATTAAAAAGGCTTTCGAAGGATGAAAAGAACGACCAAGGAAGGGCGTTTCAGAACGAAATAGTCACTGCTCACAGGTACCTAAGGTCAGGGTGGGAACAGCAGAGGCTATCCTAGACTATCAGAGCTATTCGGGGTCGCGGGCCGGGACCATGGTCATGGGGAAGGCGCAGAACTCATTGCCCAATGAGGAGCCTCGTAAGCCGATAGCTTTAATAATTATGTTCTTGCTTGGAGTCTGAAAGATCAACTATCTGGGGCAGATTCTCAAGCAACCGTCGAGAATCAAAGTACTGTAGTCAGCAACATGGATTATCAGTGCTAATTTCATTGCATCAGCTGATCATTCTGTCGATTATTTCGCCTTTTCGAGCCGTTTTCGTTCAGTATACCCCTGCATATGTACTGACTAGGGACTACTGTCCATGCTCTACTAGGTATTTCCCCACCCGACTCCATGTGCATTCTCATGCATTGTAATACAGAGCATCACCACGTTTTCTTACCAAAGGGATAATCCCTGCTTGATCAGTAATAGATGATTTCATGTGGCTGTTGCCCATGACAGGATCCTGCCTGGGCAGGCATCACAATCTGTCTCTTAGCGAAGGCTGACGTCCAAGAGCAGGCAACAGTCACTTAAGAGATCGATAAGACGATGATGCCTGTTTTCTTGTTATGGCCTGAGCTCCAGAGCCCAGCCTTGGCAAAGACTTGTAACCTCGTCAGTGTGATTCACAGAGATTTCACCCCTCCAGAACTAGAAGTCCAGATGGACAATCTTTGTTGAAGAGTGGAGGTGGGTCAGGCAGACCCTTGCCTCCGATAACCCCTCCCTAACCAAATTTAGCATCGGCGGACGTTGCCGATTCCAACACCCAATCATAATTAGGACGTCGCTCTCCGCGTCCGATGGTCGTTGCCCACTCAGATTCCCGTCGGGCCCACCTCGATCAACTTCGACGGAATCCAGCCTGACGGGGCTTTCTGTCTTGGGCCAATGGGAAGCCAGCCTGGGCTGACACCCCGGCCCATGTTCTTCGCTTCTCGCGAGATGGAACCTAATCCGGTTAGCGCTGGTCTAGATCACCGCTTGTTTGGGTCTGTCAACTTAATTGTTTTTCGAGTCCGGCGCAACTTTAATTCGGCTGCTCTTCTTCGTCTGCGATTTGGTACCACTGCTTTTCACTTTAATGACATCTAAGCGAGATAAACGTCGAGGACGCCGCTCATCTTGGGGAAGTGAAAAGAGTGGAAATTAATCAGCTTCTATGAAGATGTTTCGGCGTGAAAACTGCTTTATTAATGACCTAGAGAATGTCAAGGTTGTACTCTGTAAGTAGGATGCAGTGCACCCAAATGGGCAAGGGGCACACATGGACGCCCCGCCCTTACCTGGATGCCATGTGGGCTGACAGGGTGAAGCAGCCTGCAGAGTGCAGGATAGATACCTTGTAGCCATGCGTCACAGAGCCATGGAGTCAAGGATGTGATTGCTGCCTCCGTTTCAATCCCAATCCTTTCTCTGGAGACGAGAATAGCCCCTCGTCACTTGTCAGAGCTCGCCCGACGTGCAGTTTGTGAGGACGATGATCGCCCTTTTCAGTTTAGGCCGCAAATGGCCCATGTCAGAACTTAATGGTAGGCTTTTGAGGCCGACTAAACTAACGTGCCTGATCAGCCAGGCTAGAACGAACCGATCAGTGTCTATGATGCGCTACGTGACTCACAGCCTTCTTGTGGAATCCATAACCGACCACAATAAGGCCCACTCCTGGTTAAACTTCCAGGACGAAGCCAACCGAAATCAAGCTATCAACCATACTAACCACCAAAACGAAATCAGGGACAGAGGACGGAGTAGTGATTAATAATACAGCCGATTGCTCCCAGCCAGCGGTTTTTACCAAGACTTGCCGTCCTATCAGAAGCGTCTCATCAATTGCCTTTTGCGTACAGAGTAAAGTACGTACTCTGAGTACTCACATCACGCTCTCGTCTGCCTTGTTCAGTCTTCTCCATATACTATAGTATAAGTACAAGCCATTCAAGAACAGATAGAAAGAGACAGAGACAAAGACAGACAAGAGCCTCAAAGCCAAGCCGCCAGCAGCGAGCACCATACCCGAAACTGTACTCTCCACGAAGCACCGCTCCCACCAATGACACTGCAGACGGATTATAAAGTTGTCATGCTATGCAGTTTGAAGTTCACTGTACGGAGTACAATATTAATGATAATTCACAGCCCCCACAGCTAGCTGCAGCTCACTAGGGAAACTCGCTGGTCAGTGCCAGTGCCAGTGCCAGTGACCGTGGCCAGTGGTCAGTGGCCATTATTGTCCTAAGGCTAAACCCAAACCCCCTGTCTAGTCCCGGTAGTCTCTAGTCTCTAGTACCTAGTCTCGATAGTGTCCATGCAATTAGACCAGATTGTCATTGTCTGCGATAGATAGTCTTGCCCCGAAGGTCGGTTCTTCAGTCTTACCCAGATGGGTGTCAAAATGCGAGTAGCGTTCTCGATTGGCGAGATTGCACATGGATATTATCTGCGTAGGACGCCCTATCACGCTTGCATATTGACTTCCTACAGCCTAGCCTTGGAACATGAGACATCTATGTATGCACCGGGGCAACCCCGGAAATTGCCCAGAATCCCTCCCCGTATCAACTTATAGATTCATATATTCAATCCTCAAGGATAACACGAAGATGGGAGAATACAGCAGTAGGCGAGGTCGTAGTGGTAGCCTCCTTCCCATTCAGGCCTTATTTCGCGATGCGAGTCTGCAGTCACACGCAGTTACACTGATGAACAGCTGGTGATCAGTGCTCTTGCCAAGAGGCGATTGCTTCTATACTTATCTCCCCCTCGGACTAGGCTTTGGATCATCTAGTAGCGGCGTTGATCTTCATCTCTGTCTCCGCTCGTCTGTACTCCGCGGAGCACACTGTAGATACACCAGCGTCCCTATGGTTTGGACGGTGTAGATATGATGCGGGAGTTAGAAGCAGCTAATAGCATACAGGTATGAAGTATACTTGCAATGCAGCCAGTGCGCTGGAAAACTGTTAAAAATAGAAGTCCAAGATCAGGTTTGTGTTTGATGCCAGGCTGAGGTTAGAATGGATTTTGGCTTCCGGCGAAGAATGGCATCGACGTGATATTATGTTGTTACTTGTTTGGGATGGATACCTCTCACAACCAGAGGGTCTCTTTATATTGCCCTGCGAAAGGTCAGGGACATCTGACCTTAACACACCTCCGACTTCGTACGATATCCAGCTCGCTTGCATAGTTGTGTTACTGTTGAAAATGACAGAGCCCCGTTGTAGTTGTCATGGATTGTGTCTCCCAGTGTTAAATAGAACACTTCCTAGCCGAGTATGCTGCCGTTCACTGCCTGAGATATCGCCATCAAGAATAATCAATCGCTACCTAGTCTATCATATCTTACTAGCTACCTTAGCTATCTCATAAATTTCATAACAGATCGACAAATGGTACAAATCCTCGCCCGTCCATCCAGAGTCCTCTCGCCGCATCTTGCCTTCTCTTTCGTGGTATATACGCCTTCTGCATTATACTGCTTCTCCAGACTCATGATCAAGAGAACCGATGTTGCCACTTTTCATTGCAGTAGTACTGTCACTGCCCATCAGATCAACACTCTATGCAGACCCAAATATCACAACATGTGCGTAAGAAGAGAATGACAGAAGACGATTAAATTAGAGAAAACACGCCCATATGAAGCAAACATAAACAAATCAAGGCTCACTCCGCCCTAATGAATTGAACAGAAACACTCGCCACACTCAGAATGCATCAATCATTAAGAAAAGGGAGGAAAGAAGAATGTAATGCATTTCTGAATTGCGCCGGTTCCCCATCAGAATGAAAAGAATGTTTTTTTTCAGACGAAATCGTAAGACAACTGCCGACTCTAAATCTGGTACACAGAACGGAGTTTCTGGACCACGTGTGGCGGAAGCTGGGTGAGGAACGAATCGAAGTCGGGTATCATATTTTTATAGCCTTGCAGGACCTGCTCCTGATTAGCAACAGTCATCGAACAGTAAGATCGAGAACCAACCTGCTGGAACGAGCTCTGGATATCACGGTAGTCCTCTTGATGAAGTGACTTAGCAGGGAAAGTGGCAATGGCCTGGAAGTAGTCTCCCAGACAAGATTCCAAAGCCTGCGGGTTCTTCATCACAACATGGTTGAAACCGAGGAATGCGGATGCCTTTTCGCGGGTGAACTCAATCTTGTTCATCGACTTCAGAAACGAGCCAGCATACTCGGCCAGGTGTGAGGCAAGCTGATCGGAGCAGCAGAAGCCCAACCTTCCGAGGGCCATCGCGGCATTCTCATTCACCGAGTCGATGATCTCCTCGTTGTTGATGATGGTAGACAGTCCGTGGTACAGCTTGTCGGCGAACGGCGCGAGATTGGCTTTCTCGGTGACGGCAATCTCACCGCACGACCAGCAGGCATTGTTCAGCACGCTGAACCCGGTGTGTCGGTCGTCATCTCGGATGAGATCCAGGTCGAGCTGCTTGATCAAGGTAGGCATTATGTTGGGGATGTATGGCTCAAGCTGTGGGAAGATATTGATGGCGCAGTCACCGAGTAATGCGTATGACGACTGCCGGACCTCGTAATTCGGGTCCTCCATGCAGAAGCAGAGCAAATCAAAGAAGCGGGGTTGCGAGCTGGCAACCAATTCGCCGCTCTTCTGAGGATCGATGGCCTGTATGATCGCACTGAGGAGGTCCAGGCTGGTCACCAAGAAATCCTTGTCGGGCTCATCAATGGCTTGGTTGTTGACGGAGGCAATGTATTCCTGCAAGTTCTCGTAGATGATCTTCGTGCATCGTTGGAACAGAGGAGGCGCGAATGGAGCAAACGCGTCGCCATACGCCGCAGCAATGTATCCCAAGCACTCGAGCAAGGGGAAGAGTTCCCGAGACTGGTCCGTCACCTTATTGTACCGATCAATCAGGGCAGGCATCAGGATATCCACCAGGTGCGGTTTCGCCAGCTCTCCCATTACACATTCAGCAAGCGTCTGGACACAATCATACAGGATGTACATATTGCGATCCTTGTACTTTCCAAAGCACTGCACAAACTGTCTCAAAATCGGCTCACAGTAGGGTATCAAGTTGGCGTCCGACTTCTCTTCCAGGCTGGCAAAGGCAGAGGCGGCCGCCTCTTGCACCTTCTTATTGCCGTCCAGCATCCGCCGGAGTATACCCTCCATCATAGGCTCAAAGAAACGAGCCCTTTCCGCTGGGTTAACCAAGTGCGAAGCCCATTCCGAGTATCGTCCAAGACACCAGCAGGTAATCTGTCGTACGACCGGCTGGGGGTCGTTCAGAAGCGAGATCAGATAGGGGACAAGCTCAGGAAGGTGGGGCGTGACTGCATCCATACAGCCGTCTGCAACCGCGCCGAGCGTCAGGACCGCGGCTTCGCGCTGCGGCCATTGCTCATGGCGGAGAGTTTCTTTCAGATAGGGCAGGATGATCTCGAAGATCGGCTGGTGATAAACATTTGAAAAGACGTCCAGCGCAGCCGCAGAACACTTTCTCAGAGTCCACTCGTCCTCCGGGTCATCGCCAAACTCAGAGTCCTCGATCTCACCCTCGCTCAGGTCGTCATCGTCATCTTCGTCAGCGGCCGCGTCGCCGTTTGCCTGCGCTCCGGACTTGGAGAGGTCTAGACGAGCGGCTTTCGATTTGGCGAATTGGGGTCTGAGATCCTCCTCACGGTCTTCGAGTTCAGCATCGTCGCCTTCACCCGATAGGCGAATCGCTTCATCCTCATCGTATACCATGCTCCGGAGCAGCACGGGAACAATCTTGGGCATGTGTGGCGCCAAGGGCTGTTGCAGCTTCGCCTGCTCGCCTGCAACAAGCCAGAACTCCGCGGCATCGAGCGCGAGTTCAGGGTCCTCCGCGTTGTTCTGCTGCATGATGATGTAGTTGACCAATCCTTCCATGTGCGGGACGAGCTTTTCGGGGGCAAAGTCCACCAACTGCGCGAAAGTCTGACACACCATACGTCGTACATCGGTATCGGTGTCGCTGGCGAGCTGGAACAACTGCGAAAGAAACAGATCCAACGAAGCGATCAACGCCTGCGGTCTGCTGGGGAGGAAGACGTGGATGGTGCTCAACGCCATAGACCGAACCCTGGGGCTCCCGCTAGATGTGAAGTCCATCAACTTCGGAATAATCACATCGAGAGGGCGCTGCCCCTCGTAATCCCGATCAAGGACCTTGCGGTTGTCTTCGCAAACTTTCGCGAGGGCCGACATGGCGGCCTCCTGAGCCAGGGCCGGAACGTCCCCCGAAGCGTTCTCCACCAGACTCAGGAGTTCATGTAGCACCTCCGGCCACGCCAACAGCCCCGCCTGTTGCAACAGCTCCGTGATAATGCTACCGGCGGAGTTCCGCACCTGGAGGTTGCCGTCCCGCAGCCCGGCCAGGGTCGCGGATCGGATGTATGCTAAACTGGGCTGAGGAATTGTATTGTATGCGACCCGGATCTTCGTCTTGAGGTTCATCGCAGCGGCGAAACGAACCAAATTGTAAGTGTCGTCATCCATGCCCACGGCCGGGGGGATCTGCGGGGTGCAAAAAAGGTAGGTGATATAATTGACATAGTCGGGGGAGGATGTCGCTTGAACAAGCATCTATCAAACCAGAAAAAAAAAAAGAGAAGTTTCGTCAGTCACATGTATCTAGCCCTCTGGAATGTATATGGGAGGCGAGACAGCAAACTGCGGATGCGAAAGACAGGGGAACGGAAAAAAGTGTAAAGCCTACCTGTTCGGCCTGCTTTTGTGCTGCGCGATTGTGAGGATGTAACGAGTCCCTGAGACAGCAGGCGAGCTGCCTCAATGGCTCATCCTGAGGTTGCCATTCCATTCTGGCGAACAATATGAGAAGAAAATGAAAAAAAGGAAAATAAAAAAAAAGACAACGTCGGATACGAAAGGCAAAAATGCCCCGAGAGAAAGAGTATGTGGGAGGCAGAGTGAGGGAGAGGTTAGTTGGCGGTAGTAGTGTAGCACAGCGAACCCCGCCGTCCACTAGATACTTGGGGGAAAGCGGTCTCCAACCCGTGCGATTCTTCGCCTCTTCTCAGAAAAGAATAAGTATTTTAGATATAGGACTATTGCAGATCAAGTAAGGCGTACGTTGTATTATTGTCTGCAAATATGAAGAATATATGAATGGAAACAAGTCTTATAGACGACCAAAAGCCCGTCTGGTGGCTAAGGAAAAAAAAATTCCCTGCCTGCAAAAAGTTCTTTAGGAGTGAAATTGGAATACAGATACCAACTTAAGGTAATATTGATAACAATCCCCCGATGTACAGCCAGCAGCACAACATTCCAAAGGAAGACTAACTATGCAGTCGTTATCAGTATAGAGGAATTTTACAGAAGACATTGCGGGATAATATGCCTATCTTGAAGCATAGTGACAAAAAGTGTCTCTCGTCAATGGGGATTTCATGCGGGTTCTCAAGGTACAGCATGAGTGGTAATTCTTGCAGTGAAAGGTATTGTAACTCCCTGACTTTATATTCAAAACCGTAACCATTCTTACCTTACGTACTCGAGGAGTGACCAAGTACTCTTAACTACATCATGAACCATCTTGCCCTTGGCTTCGGATGATATCGACACTTTGCACCGTTGTATGCCAGGCTCAGAGTCAGCTCATAAGATTTCTATCTATTAAATGTGTAAAATATGTCTATCTGACAAAGACGGGAAGCAATGCTATGCAAGATGTGCTCCTCCCTTACGTTATTCTATATGTCACCTGCAATATATATCAGGAGAAATTTCCCCTGTATCAACCAGCTGTCTGCAGCAGCGAGTCTCTGAAGACGGAATTCCTGGGCCTTATTCGAGGAGCCCTCACTGTTAACTGCATATAATCCCATCCTTACGCCCAGACTAATTTCTTGATGTCATAAACCAGATGCTCCAGAATCCCTGTACGTTTCTTGGCGTCTTCCAAGGAGATAATCTCCGAGTTCTCAATCACAGAGGGAGGCTTCCCTTCTTCACTGGGACGCGGTCCCTCGCCGGCCATCATCGCGCGCTCGATATCTTCGCAGATAGACCGTACCCAGTCGGTTTCGCTCACAGTGCCGCTGCCTGCGGCATTGTTTTGTGCGACGGAATTGGATTGCGGAAGTGCTTTGAAGGCAATGAATCGCGTGGTCGACTGCGCGCCACCTCGGAACCAAGAATATAAGCCCCGTTCGCCGCTGGCTTGGGCATTGCTGTTCTGGGCCTTGGTGTCGACATCGCTCTTCAGAGAGCGAGTGTTGACGCGCCAGGCATTCTCGCCGCCTTCGCGGTACTCGATGACTAGTCCAACATTGCCTTGTTCATTCGCTTGTGATTCAGTCAAGATCGATGTAATATATGGGCCGTAATTCAGACGCGATATCGAGCGTAAGTCGATGCGCTCGAATGAGGTTACTTTGTCAGTATTCCAGTCAAAGCGGCAACTGTAGACAGCCGCGTCAGTCAGGAGCAGGACCGCTTCCTCGAATGGTAAAGTCCGTAGGGTGTTGGGCTGCCGAGGAGTGAGCATAGTCCAGCCTCCCAGGAACTCTTCCGACTGGTCGCTGATCACGATCTTGCAGCTCGTATCGATCGCGCTCCGCCGTAGTTTCTGCACGGAGATCCCGGGATCCGCGGTTCGCATCTCCATGGCAAATTCTGCGAATATACGAGTCGACACATTTCCCAGAAGATAATCAATGCATGCCTGTGAGAAGTAATCATTGACAATATTGTTGTAGTATCTGGACAGCGTCAATCCGAAATCGTTCAGTGCGCCTCGATAGTCCCGCTTGCGAGTTCGTGTGTAGTCTCCCTTCAAAGCTGCCGTGGAGGAGTACTGCTTCGAGATAGCGTCTCCATTATCTGCCCAGAGGGTATTGAACCACTGGGTAGACGAGTCGCGGCTCAAATCGATGTCAATGTCCTCGAGCTTCAGTTCGCGTTCCAAGGCCCACTGGCCAAAGGCACATTGCGCAACACCGGTACGATCCAAACAGTCCATGCAGTTGGTGCGTACAATGCCCGTCTGGCTTTGAGTGACCATACCATTCCGTATAATTGTATCGCCGTACTCGTTTAGAACGGACTCCAGACGTTTCACAAGTCGACTCACGTTTTCGAACTTCATCCCGCGGCATTCGTTGTGGAAGTCAAACCACTCCATTCCGAGAGGTACACCGTCAATGCCGCCAGATTCGTTCAGCACCCGTGCATATTTTTCGTACTCATTACCAAGCTTCAGTTCACCGGCTTGCTTGTCGATGAGAGACACCGCTTGGAGTTTGCCATACCTTCTAGCGAGGTTTCGAAAATGCCTGTCAAAAGCAAGTTGGTTTGTCTCCGTCGAGTGGTGAAGCACCGGAACCGGTTTGAAAGCATATGGCGACTGAGAGAAATAGAGAGGGATCGATCCGCGCACTTGAAGGTAGGAATAGACATTGTGACCGGGATCCCAGTCAGGAACTGAAAGAATTTGCTCCGTTTCAACGGTGTTTGCCGTGTTCCCTTCGTCATCAACGCCGCGTCGAAGATACCGGAGCCCAGGTCGCTTGACCGACCGTCGCGAAATCAGAGTCAATAGGAAATTCCGCTTCTCGGCATCAACCTTGATGCTCTGCGCCTCGTCTTTCTCACCGAGCATTCGACCTTCTGTGTGCTCCTCTGCGACGTTGGAATCCGGCTGTTCTGTTTTAGCTGACACAGTGAACTCTCGCTGGCCGACGAATCCCTGCAGAAGAGGTAAGATGAAGCTGTGCGCGTCGGCTGTGATGAAAGGATTCATCAAGTTTTTATTCCAGAAATACTGTGGACATCTAGGGTCAGCTAACCCGTCTCATTATGTTTAGTTCAAGGCTGCTTTCACATACCAACTCATCAACTACTTTGTGCATAGGTATATGATCATTGCGCGCTTCCTGGGCGCCGAAAGTCCTTGTTAAATCGTAATCGTAGGCAAAGAAGAAGTTCTGGGAAGAATATATAAGCCTGGTGTACCGCAGCAGCTTCGGCAGCAGCTCGACCGTCGGGTCAGATGGTTCCTTTCCACTTTCCAACGGCGAGTCTGCGCCAGCGCCTGGCGCATCGGAGACTGTAGGTGACTTTTCCTTTTCCAATTTCGCGACTGGAGGCTGCATTTCGGTTCCCAAGTCCTTTTCATTCCCGAGAAGTCTCTCCGTCGTGTCCTGGCCGACATTGCTAAGCCCTGGGAGGCCCAGTGTCTTCCGCGAAAGCCAGCTTGCAGCGAATCGCCCGAAGCGGACGCGTTTCCCGATCACATCTTCGGCTATACTTCCTCTGCGGTCTGGTGGGGAAGAGTCCTCCTGTGTTGGAGATGATGGCTCACTGTTGATGTCAGGTTCTCCTCCATCCGTCTCGTTGTCGGAGATGCTGCCTTCTGAAGCTGTCTCGCCTACACCGGCCTCTCCCTGAAGAAGGGTTTCTTTTGCCTGAGAGATTGCCCGACTGGCATCCGCCTGCGACGAGAGCGGAATGATTGCAACATTGGTTATGGAGTATATCGGTTTGCCTTGTATCTGCGCCACTTGCTGGCGTTGCGTTATCGAGATCAGAAACGAGTATGATGCAACGGATAAAAGTCCTCAATTAAGATGTCAGTTAGCGGCCGGTGCCCAAGCGAGTATTTGCCAGAGGAGAAGAAGCTCCGCTATATTCAGAATTACAGGGACTGAGGACAATATCACTAATAGTACCCGAAATACAAACTTACCGACTAGACCATAAGCCTCCAGTCCGGCATCTTTCCTCACAGCGGGATCCGATGCCGGCGCCGACAGGGACGAGATCTTGTTCGTCTTGTAGTCAATCCGGACAGACTGCGGCTCGTAATTGCCATTGTTACGTCCTCCATTTCCATGCGGCTGAAGAATGAGACCGTCCACAGCCGCGATGATGATCAACTTGCGCAGCAAGCCAGGCATGTCGCTGGATAGAATTCTCTGTGGAGATGCGGAGCAAGTATTACAAACCAGACCTGTGTAGGTCAAGAAGAGCACCGCTTGATATCGTAACCCAAGGTGTACAGCTGAGTTTCACAGGTATACCAGTACGTCACAAGAGTCTGCATCATCAACGCGAGCTGTGTGACAAAAATCGCGTTGGGCGTGTGGTATGAATCGCACAGCTGACCTTTCGCGTACCCATGCCAACCCACCTTTGCCTGGCGGGAGAAGTCTTACATCATACCTAGGCAACCCGAGCGCTCGAGCGACTTGCCAATTGTGTCATGCTTCTCCTATCAAGTAAACAAACTAGCCATGATTGCGTACGTGAGTTTGGATTCTTAAAATAATCCATGCTTATGGCATCGATACAACGTCTATCCCAAAGTCGACAAAAGTGCGTATATACAGTTCTTGTATTGGCACGCGACCAGGCGGGCTGTTCGCAGAGCCAAGGTGCAATTATCCAAACGACTACCCAAAGAACATCCAAATCAATCATAAGCAGCCCTTGACCCTCACCCTGGTATATCCTGCGCTTGTAGAAAAGTAGAAGTACAGTTGCATCCCGCGACCGTAATGAAACCGAGTTAGATTGCGGCAAAAATAACAGATGAATCGAGTTGTGAAAATGATAAAACCGCAAATGGAAGGAAAGCGTTACAAAAGTCTTTTTTGGTTCGTAAAGAAAGTAAAGACCGTTGAAGAAGACAAGAAGACAACTATGGTGATTCGTAACGTTCTATCACTCGTCATGCTTATTGGGATGTTGTGTGGTGCGATCAATATCATCGCTTCGTTTATAGGTCGGCCCCGGTTCTCCGTCGCTTTCCTCCGTCAACTCTGACAGACCGAAAGCCTGATTCTCGACATCGTA